AGGACCAGGGTGTGAAAAGCTTATTTACCAAGTGTGGAAAAGATGTGTGTTGTTCAGCTGCTGTTTGTGATATTTGTTGTGATATATTTCACAGAGCTAACCCAGTGCCAAGTGTGTCTTGTAGCACGGTGTCTTGCTGTGTGCTGCATTCAGTGTTTGTGTCCTTTGAGGTTATGTAATTACTATAAAAACGAACAAATTCTGCCTGCCATTTGTAATAGCCCTTGGCAAGTTTTCAGTTCCAAGATGGCATTTGTTTTGTGGTCCCTCTCTTTGTCCCTTCTGCTTGACCTCTGGGGTGAACCGCCTGTGTTGTTGAGCTTCACAACACGTGTGAGGTGTGGGTGGGTGAATTGGGGGGCAACAATACCGAATTTTGTGCCAGAGAGATGCAGCGCAGCACAACTGGGGTGCCTCACTGGAGGTGGGGGCACACGATGCCTGTGAGCCGTGAGGAAGGTGAGGAGACAAAAATCACAAGAGTCTTTGTGCGCCTTCCTCTCACTCTGGAACAGCTGTGCCTGAATTTTGGGCTCTGTCCATCCAATTGCTCAAGGATGGAAAAGTTGTGTATTATACGGTACTGTATAATAATAGACATATAATAATATATTACACAGTAGCTCTTCACCACACTGCTGTGCCGCTACCACCTCAGACCTGACTACATTGTCAAAGGAAAAAAGACTAGAAAGTATCCACGCGTCCGCTGTTGTTATCTCTTCAAAGCAACTGTGAACAATCTTTCCCTCCCTCCTTATTCCTTAAAACAGGACTATTTCAGATTAGGATCTTGGACCTGCCAACACTTCACTGAATGGTGAAACTCTGTAAACTTTTAATCTTTGAGAAAAACAAAAAAAAAGGGACCAGAGCACACAAGTTCCATTTGCAAGTGCAACTATCTGTTTATATATAAATAATGCTTCAAGTTGAAGATATATATGCTGTAGAAAAGCAGTTCTAAAAAAACATACAAGGAAAACTAAATTCTGGTGGGAATATATGTTTTGAATTCAGCTTTCTTCATATTCCAGTGGTCTTCCAAACTAGTCCTCTTCCCAAGAAGCCCTTAACCTTCTTGGGGTTTGGCAGACACTCATATTTAGGTTTAAAGCTAAGTGGATGACTAGAGACTGCGACTTAATTTGTTATAAAAGGATGCCTTACCAAAATATTGTTTCTTTTCAGGTCTGTTTTGAGAGGTCGGCTGTTTGTATGTACAGTTTCTTTGTATGAGTGGAGTTCTTTTGGGTTTCTTTTTTCATGTTTTGTTTTTTCCCTCAGATTTGAAAAGATTGCATTGCATGAATTTACACAGTTAAGTCACCTTTTTCCACTGCAATGTTCATAAGGTACATAAAAATAAGATTCAGATAAAAAATTAACTGGCTTCAGTGATGAGTTTGCTACTCCTCCCTGGGAAATGGCCAGCTAGTTTTTGGAGTTCCTGGTGGTAAAAAGATAAATTCATGGTTTTTTCATCCCCTCTTTTTCAAGACAAATTCGTTAGTTTAATCCTGCCTGTTTTAGAAAGTTTGGGCTTGACATTTATTAATCAGGTCTAACTTGTAAAAGTTGCAATTGTGCTGCTCATGGGGTCTGTGAACATGAGGTGTTTCAGAAGAATATACCTTATAATGAACTCTGCAGAGGGAAGGGCTCTGGAAATAGTAGCTGTTTATCAGTATATATTCTTGGCATGTGCTTCAGGTGCTCCCTTACTCTGCACAGGTGCCTTAGGAGCGCATGAAAACGTTTCAGGTAATGTATGTGCTGCCATTCCGATTAAACAGGTACACAGAAGAAATTCATTCTGCTTAAATTACAGGAGTATGATCCTGACGCAGGTATTAAAGCAGCCAAGATTTTAGTAGCTTTGCCAAACTTCCACTGTTTGGGTGGGAAAATTACAGTGCAATATTTAAGCCTTGTGCTGATTTATTTAACCATTTTTGTGTGTACAAGTTTGGTTGAAATGTGGCCCGATTTGAAAATTGGGCAGAGGCAAATATGTGTTTTCCAATGTTCTAAAAGTTTTCTCAACTTTTGCCGTGGAAGACCAATGATACCCCTCTCGTTAGAAACACTTGAAATCTGGTTGAAAAAGAAAAGGATGACGGATTTGATTCCAGAGATGTGTCTTTCTGCCATTTGCATGACAAAGCATCTGAATTTAGCCAGGATACAAGGCTTTTCAAAAAGATCCATTTGCATATGCTTAGGGCTTACTGACTGTAATCGCTGAATATTTCATCTTCGCTGGGAGGCAGCAGATCCTGGGATCAGAGGGGAGGAAAATTGGGGCTGGGTGGGAAGGAAAGTGGAGATGTGAGCAGCTGGAGCCTGCAGCTGTGAGGTGCCAGGACACAGGGACAACAGGGAGCTTGGAGGAAACTGGGATGGAAATGGCCAGTCTGGAGAGGGGAGGCAGAGAATTGCTCCATAAGAGAACCAGCCCTGGAATCGGGGTCTGGGAGGAGCATGCAAGCATCTGGACCAGGGACACAGACCTGGTGAGAGGGCGCAGAGCCAGGACAGCCAGGAGGCAGGTCAGGAAGTGGGAGGCTTTTGTTGAGTTAGGAGGAACATTCTGTCCCTCCAGGTGCTGGGAAATAACCATTCCTTCACTGCCAGGAAGGACTTGAGAGAGCAGGGGTGTAAAATTTGTTGTCTCCGCGGTAAAACCGACCCACACCTATGAGATAGACGGCAGCTGACCGAGGGGTGTGTGGCAGTCCTGGAGCTGTGTCTCAGGGATGTCAGAGCCCCGGGAGGGAAGGCTAGGATTTGCCATTCAGAAGCAGCTGGAACAGTGTGTCTCTGCAGTGTCTGGGTGCTGTACTTGCATTCCCAAAAATGTTCTCTTAACTTGGAAAATGCAGATATACACTGAACATATTTCTCACTTTGCCCTCATTTGCATGTTCACTGTTTTTTGGTTTGTTGGTTTTGGTTTTTTTTTTTTCTTTCCCTTTTAGAAAAAAAAAAAAGCTCTGGGGTTTTTGTTGTGCAGGGAAGAGCATTGTTTTGGTAATGAGCAGCTATTTGATAATTTGCTATTTTGCTGTCTTGCGGTTTGTGCCTTATGGCTGCCTTGCTGTTTCATAATACGGCTGTTCCTACAGGAAGATTGTGTTGTTTTTTTGGTGCCCAGCTCCACAGTGTCTGAGCCTCACCTCTAAAAATAGGCATCGAGCCACTCCTGACCGACAGCCAGTTTGGAAGTGGCATTAAGATGCAGAAAAGTAGAAGACAAAAATGTTTATTGGTTATTGGGTGCCCAGTTTGAGCTATGCAGCCCTGAATTTTTATTTTTTTTTTTCTTTTTTGGAGTATCACATACACCAGAAATGCATATAGACAGCTTCCACTGTCTCTCTTGCCACAGGAGGAGATGCCAAAGGAACTTGAAGAAATGTAGTGTTTTTGTGAAACTGCTATCTCTCTTGTGAATACACTTCAGACTGGAAGATGCGCTCACAGTTATCCAGGGTGGAGAGCTGCAGACTCACCTGCAGCAGGGCCTCTCCACGGCTGCTGTTCTTAGGGAAGGAGACTCACAAATGTGTGGTTCTGTGGTTTGGGGTGGCTAATTGAGCAGAGACACTTCATGGAAGGGTTGCTGCCCTGCACAGCCTCGTGTGGTTTGAGCAATGGCTCAAAACACCTTGTTTTTAAGAATTTTCTGCTAAGGCTCCTTTGGGCAAAACCAGATGACATTTTTTCTCCGTCAGTGTTCAGGAGCTATGTCTACAGAGCCTTCCACCTGTGTTGCTTGGGGTTAGGACCACTTGTTTCCTGCTTTTTTTGGTGCACAAACATTCCAGGAAGGAGTGCTGGTCCAGACTGAGTCACAGGCTGAGGGGTTTTTTTCTGCTCAGTTGAGCTGCTGACCCCTAACATCAGGTTGTTCAGGCAGTGGGCAGGTGTTGTTTCAGCTCCTGAGAGAAAATCATCCTCAGATACAAACAAATGTGTTAATCCAGAAATCTTGATGACCTCTGCTCATGCTTCTCTAGTCTTTGAGGTATTTCTCACTTCTGGTTCCAGGAAGGGAACAGGTGAGAACATAAAATGTCCCTTTCTAAGAAACTGAAATACGGCAGTAGTCTAGACCATAGAGTCCTAGCTTTTCACTTTCCATCAAATACAAAAATAAACTGAACATTTTTGTGGTGGGTCATTTTTTTTCCCTTTCACACCTTCTGTGGTTCCTGCCTCCGGACTGTTTGTGCTTTCTCCATATTGTTAGTAGCATATTCAGAGCAGAATGAAATAATTACCTCTCATTTGACATAATATGGATAAAACAATGCTGCTAATACTCCCTGGAACACTTGCATGTTTATTGTTGTTATTGTTGGGGGGGAGTTGTTTGTTTGTTTGGGGGGTTTTGTTTTATTTTGTTTTTTAAATAATCCATTTTTGCAGTCACACGCCCTCCAGGTTCTTTCTGCAGCACAGCTGCCTTGCCAATTATTCCCCATTCCATATTTGTGTCTTTGATTTCTTAGTCCTGAGCATGGTACTGCACATTTGCCTGTATTGAATTTTCTGTTATTAACTTTCATTATTCTTTTCCTGTCCCCAGAAGGGCTTGTAATCTTTCCTGATTTGCCACGTACACTTCTGTATTTCTGCATACCACTCATTAATGAAAGTCTTTTAGTGGAGTTGGCTTAGGGTAGGAAGAGCTTTCCTGAAACGTTCTCTCTTCTGTAGAAACATGCTGTTAGTGACTCTTCCATCATTCCTTTATTTTGTGGTTGTACCCTCATTTTTCATTGACTGAAGATGTTTGCTGATGCAGGCATCATGTGACAGGCTAAGAGTCAAAAGCTAATATTCTAACTTCCACCTGTTCCTCCTTGCCCACTGCCCACTCTCCCAGGTGAACTAAACTGAGCTGACATTACGTTTTCTTGACAGATAATGTTGGCCCCTTCCCTTAGTTTGTGATAAAAGAACAAAAATTCAAATTAATATAATTTATTTTGCCCATTTTTTTTCCTCTAGGCTTTCCAGAGTTCTCTCAATCTTCAGGCAAGAGTACCAGAGTTTTTGGGGGTTTATTTTTAAGCTGGAGCCACCTGTGAAAGAACACTATGACACCACAATTTTTCTTTTTTGCCCTGCTTTGTTTCCTGTGCAAGTATCAATTGAAAATTACAATTTGAGGAAATCCAGATTTCAGAAATCACATTTCCTGTGGCAGGTACAGTTTTTCAGCTGTGGTTGTGGATAGTGAAGATTGTTTAGTGTGTCTATTCATTGACTTCGTGTGCTGCTTTATCCTGTCCTTTTTAGGTTTTTAAATCTGACTTTGGACTTAATGTCTTGGTGGTTTTCGGAGGTGGTGTGGGTCTGGTTGAAGTACAACCCTTGATGTTAACCCCAGACTCTTAATGGGATCGACCAGGTCTACATTGCCAGTGAATTCCTAACTTGCTACTTAGGCTTGAATGTTTCTTTTCTTCCTTTCTCCTATTCCGAAGTAAAATACTGTCTTTGAAAGAAATTTCCATCATGAAGAAGAAATTTAAGAAGTTAGTGAGTACTCAATGCCCTGTGCATTACATTATTTCCATTTTGTTTCCAAAGCCTCTGAGTCTTGGGAGAGATTTCACCTTCAGACCAAACCACTCTAATTTTCATAGGAAGAATGCAGTGTCTTGAAAATACAGAAGCAATAAGTAATCAGTACTAATAGAGTTACCAGTGTATGTAAATTCCAGTGCATGCAGTTTTATTTTTATATTGCTATCGATAATGTCTTTTTGCTAGCAGGTGCATTTTTATATAGATATAATGAGTTTGGAAAGTTAATAAGAATGTTCCACTGCTGGAATTAAGCATTTTTATAAATAGTAGAAGAAAGTAAAATACTGTCTATGTTTTCTGTGGTAAACACCTTAATGCTTATAAAAAAGCGTTGGATTTTAGTCTTGAAAACCTGTTTTAGAGGTTAGGAAAAAAATTCCAGCAGCATCAATAGCAAACTGTAGCCTGTGTTCCTTTCCTTGGGAGGTGTTGTGCTTTCTGGGTAAGATACTGGAGTGCAGAAATGGAAGTGCAAGTCCTTAATAAATACGTTGTTCTTGACAGTGCTGGGGCAGAGTGGATCAGGTGGCTGACAGGGTGTGTGATTGTGTCATAAATACTGGGGGGATTTGTGAGGATCGGGGTGAGGCTGCCACCTGATGCTCTTCAGAAGTTGTGCTGCTTTATCAGACCCCTGTAGCAGCAACAGCAGGATTTGAGAAACCACAGCCCCACCTGATTTCTCCATGTTAGGTAGGTTATTTATGTTCTTCTCCCAGTTAACCCTCAAAGAGTGAGGGCCAGCCTTGGATGGCTCCCGTTTGGGTCAGCCTTTGAGTGGAGGTGCAGGTGTTTGAGTGCTTGGAGTGTGGGGGAGTTACTGAAATTTCATCAGGTCTATCAGGAATAATGAAGCTCCCTTGCCAAATCTGAAGCTGCCCTGGAAGTGAAGGTTATGACTCCAATTGTGTGTCTCTTGAACTGTTTGGCTCCTTTAATTGTTTATTGTTTAATATTCCTTGAAATTTGAATTTGGAAAGGATACATGTACATAAAGGTGATGTTTTAAAAACTAAAAGGCATATGTTCCAGCCCGAGTAATTTGGTTTCCCTGTGTGTTAGTATGCACATTGTAAAATAATACAAATATAGATCGACTTTTTTGGGTTGGAGTAGAAGTACATGATCAACAAATAAACACACAGAAGAGCTTGCACACAGGACAGTCAGTTAACAAAAATACGAAGCTGGAAAAGATGAAGGAGATCTTCTGATGAGGAGATGAAAAGCAGTGTTGGAAGTTTGGAAATGTGCCTCTGGTGATGGTAATGGGCTTCACGAGCAGATCTGAAAGGTAAAACACATTGGTGTTCCTGACTTCTGATGCAGCTCCTCAAATCCAGTGTCACTTCTAATTTTGCTAAATGTACTTCCTATTCTTCATAAAGGAACGATGTTTACTTTCACAAGACCATTATGTGTAGACATGTGCATACACAAACCTAGTTATATATACTTCAAAATATTTTTAGAAATAATATGAGGTACTATAATGCAGCAAAACCCAAATAAGCAAACTGCAAATAAAGCTATCTTATGCTTCAAAGTTGCAAGACAAAAAGTATGTCCAAACTGGTGGCACATAGTTGGGAAACATAGAAACAGTGAATGAAAAAACTACGTAGAATGATTTCAGAGATTATCTTAAATAGATGATTAGAAGCAAAACCGGACTGGAGTATTGGATGCAGATGTATTCCTATGAAATCCATTAATTAAAAGAAGTTGTTTTTAAAATGTTACCCATATTCCCCAAACAGACCTGTAAGTATATATTAAATAATTCCAAGCTGGAAGAAAAAAAAAAGAAAGATAGAAGTTGCCCAGTGTCAGTCTCCAGTTCTGGGTGGGATTACTCGTTTAGGGGAAAAAAACCTACAAATAAGAGAAGGTTTTCTTGTCATGAAACCACAAGTATTTTTCCTGTAAAACAATGTAAGTGCATTGAGCAGTTTTTCATTCATATCACTATCTAGAAAAACTCTTACGAAATACTTCAAAAAGTGAAAAAAGGACTCTGTGGTTTCAATACTTGGGCTGTGAGCCAAATAAATGCGTTTGAAAATGCAGGGTCATGCCTGCAGCAGCTTGTGGGAGTACCTGTTCCATATTTCAGAGAGCAAGTCGTGCATAAGGGGCTCCCTGATAGAGCAGCAGTGGGGATGATCAGCTGCAGCCGCAGGGAAACACACAGAGCTTGTGGAAGTATTTTGGTATTAGTTTCTGTTTAATTTCTCTTTGCACAGTGTACACATTCAATGGGCAAGGCATAATTAGAGGGGCTCTCTGGTGTGGTGTGTTTTTACAGAGAGCTTTGCCTTCTGCAAATGGTTGTGGGCTGAAGTGAGCGCAGGCACTTAATGCTCAGCACAAACATTGGAAATCCTCAGTAATTCAGGGCACAAGTGAAAAACTAATTGAGGGAAGTGTAGGGAAACCTAACCCATGGCAGTGTCAGATGTGCCTCAGGCTTCCCGACACCTTATTCTGAGGCATTCCGCGGGTGTTGTGAAAGGAACCAAGAAACGAGATTAAAGGGACCAACAGTGCAACTTGGCAAAGTAGTTGCTGTGTATTCTGCAGCCTCGAAATGGAAATGTTTTCATGTTCTTCCTGCCTTTGTGATTCAGTTGTGGATTTCAGCTAAACTTCAGTCCAGTTCTGTGAGAGGCAGTTTTTAACGAGCCCATAACTTTTTCAGTGTTTCTCATTTCCTAGTCCAGGACCGTGTTTAGAGTTAACGTGGCTGAAAGAGAGAGGAGCATTGCATTCTCCCAGAACCAGCTTTTCTCACTGTGTTTGTGTGTGTTTATAGGTGTATATATGAATGTACATAACAACATTTATGTATTAAGGCCACTTTTGAGCTGGTTCAATGTCAGCCCTACACCCTTGTCTTGTTGCCTGGTATGGAAACACAAAATTTACTGTTGGTTGTGTAATGACTGTAGATACTTCACCAAGGCTGATTTTATCTTCAGCACCTGTATCTACTTATCTTCAGGACCAACAAAAGGACTACCCAACAATTCAGCTTCTTAAAGCAAAGTATTTGTTTAGAGCAGTGTGAATGAAAGCCTCTGAAAACAGCAAAAGCAGTCCATATGTGTAACTTTTTTCTGTCTGGAAATGCACTACTCCCCTAATGCTAATCTAGTTAAATCAAGATTTTAATTCCCCCATCAAGCTTCCATCCATGTTTCTCCCTGGACAGCACCTCCAGCAATTAACACAAGTTTACCCAAAAGGAGAAAAGAGGTTTTTTCTTACCCTTTGACAGGCCAAGTGGCATGCAGAAGCTTTTGTGCTCCAAAATTTTATTCTTTCTCGTTTGCCCACTTCTTGGTTTGTGGGGATTTTTCACCCTCCAGCTCTATTGATTCTGCATAGGTGTATGTCAGAACCTCACAGTCTGGTTCCAGGGCTTGGGGGAGCTCTGAAAGCAGCATGAAAACCGGGATGGAGGGCTCTGTTCTGGAGGTGGTGGAGGGATCTCAGATGGGTGGAGAGCTGGTGCTCTTGAGCCAGCTGTCAGATATTTTAGCTGAATATGAGCATTTGAAACGGACGGGACAGGTGTAGCACTTTTTGAAACAATACAGGAGCCATCTCAAGGAGCCAAGTGTGTTTGAACCCTCTTTGCCCCACAGCCTTACGGCTCTAATGGTAACAGATAAAAATTCTGTGTGTTCTAAGCTAACGCAATGTGCCTGGGTACTCAGAGGTGCTGCTGGGACAAACCTCCTTGCCTCTTCTCTCAACCCACTGCTCAGCACAGCAAGCTTCCTGGAACCTCTGTGTGCCTTCATCCGTCATGTAAAATTGAAAAATTACTGTTAGAAAAAGTTCTTTCAGGGACGTGATACAATCCATGAGTTATGCTGTGACACTTAGTGAAGATGTTGAGGTGTTCTTACATTGGAGTCAAGGTTTTTTTCCCTTTACTTTGCAAGATTCAAGTTCAGTAAACAATCATTTTCCAGCCCACTCCTACTGTTCTGTATTTGTATTCTACAGTCCAAGAATATTTCTTTCTCAGGTGGCTGAGAAAAAATTTCCTAGTTGCAGAGTTACATTTTTTTACCTATGTCACACAGATTGTAAAATTAAGTAAATTTCATCAATCTCTTGGGCGTTCAAGTGATGTTCAGATACAGATTTTCACCACTGTTCTCTTTCTTTCCTGAGTTTTTATTTCTACAAGAAATGGAGATGCTGGTGTGCAGGCATCCTACCTTGCCATGGGATACTGCAGGGAAGAAGGCACTGGAGATGACTTGGAAGGGTCCAAACCTTTTTGAGTGTCTCTGGCATGTGACCCAGTGTGATACACAAATGTCAATTATGTGATTATGAAATGTGAGATGTGTGATGTGCTTTAGCCAGATCATTTCTCTTTATGTGAGATGCTCCATTCAAAATGAAGGAATGGGATGCCATTGTAAATTATTTTCTGGTTTAGTAGTCATAAGACAACATGTTTGCAGGCAACATGTCTGTAGCTGAGACAAGTCCACCCTGCTCAGCTCCTTTTTTCTTCTGAGTGTGGAAGGCTGTTAAATGTAGGTGGTTTGGGCTTGCTTTTTGATACCCTGCCTGCCCAAAAATGAAAGAACTGGGTGATGTGCGTGTGTCTGCTTGCCAAGCTGGCTCTGCTAGTTCTGGGTTTTCTCATTGGACTGCGTCAAGGTAAGTTTGAGAAATATGTAAGAAATAAAGAATGCAGCCCATGTCTGGATATACTGTTGGCTGAGAGGTGAATTTAAAATATCCATAGCCTTGCACCCTTCCTGCTGTAGCTGTTGGTGCCTTATGGAGGAGAATCCCACGACCCTCAGGAGAAGGCTCCAGGAGCAGCCGTTTCCCCAGTGTGGTCATTCAGTGTCTCTGGAGCCCTTCAGGAGGCACAGGGGTCCCACAGGGCAGGGGTGTGTGTGACAGAGCTGCTCTGCTGAACCTCCCAGGAGCTGAGCTGGAGCTGGGAGTTGCTGCTCTCCCAGCAGGACTCCTCCACTGGGTTTGCATCCCTGTCCCACCTCCCCTCCTTCCATGCACTGTGTGCTGCATGTTGAAAGGGGTGAGTCACCTCTTTTATTATGTTTTGAATACTTTCCTCCCAAATGTAGTTTATTTTCTGCAGGGAAAGGAAAGAATTTATGCTGTCCTGGTTCCTTTTTTTTATCAAAGCTCTTGCTAACAACTTCCAGCTGAGGGAGTTCTTGATATTTTTAGCCTGAGATATTTAGCTATTTGAGCCTCTCTACATGTTTTCCTCCTGATATATATTAACTGGAGGGGGAGGATGGTTCTTGTCAGTTAATATATTCATGAGCATGCCTGCCAAATTGCCCACACTGACTCCCAGGAAACTGAACACTTCAGAGTTGGGGGGAAGTTTGAGTCTTGGTCTGAAGTATTTGCATCAGCTTCATTACTCCATTCTCTGACTGATGCTGCCATAACTGTGTTCTCACTGAAGCTTCCTTTTTATTTTAAGAGGTGGTGTTTGTACAAAAGAGAGACGTAATTGATTTCTGCTTCAAAACACAAAAAATTATATAAACTAAAAAGTGGAGAACCATAAAATGGGATATTACATTAAAAAATGTAATTTCTTTTGATTTTTTTTTTTTTTTTTTTTTTCCCAAGCAGCAAAATCCTCAGTCGTTTCACTAAAGTTTCTGTTTTATTGGTTGTCTGGTCTGTGGTCTGATGGAGTTCTTCAGAATTCCAGATGTTGTACTTGATGGCACATCTTACAGCATTTTCAAGCCTCTGAATAACCTTACCCTTCCCTGAAAGTCACATGAACATTGTTTTGAAAGAAAATATTAAAAAACAGCACTCACATTGAGCTTTTGCCTTTAAGACCCACTTTGGCCTATTTAACCATAATTTCACAGATCTTACTGTCATCAGTTCTTTTCCCCTTTCCCAACCAAGTTTCAGACTCAAGATGAAAAGCTGTAGATTTGCCTCAGTGAAGTGTAGTGGTTCCAGCAAGTGCTCCAGCATTGTCCCTGTGGAGCCTGAGA